AAAAAAAAAAAAAAAGAACTCAGGCCATACTCCCAGGGAGCCTGTAGCCTGTCATCCGTGGTTGTAGCCTCAGTTTCCCTGGGAGAGGACCATTAAGAACTCAGGCCATACTCCTAGGTTACAATAATTGAAACAGGAAAAACAGTCCAGAAAGGCCATGTTTAGCATGTTTCAAAGCATTCACTCATTCATTCATTCACTCAGTGATGCTCTTTGAGCCCCTAGAAGCAGCCACACTGCTGGGAGCTGCTATACAGGGATGGCCCAGAAGGGCGTGTGTGCCACAGCCCCGACTTCCTTTGCAATCCTGTTTCTGGGCACCGTCCCTCCCTCACTTGTTCTGCTTTGTTGTGTTTCCACTGCTGGACTTTCTGCGCCCTAAGACAGCTACCTCCTGGGGCTTTTGTGCCTTTCCTTCTGTCTGGAAGGCTTTTCTCCCAGTGTTGATGTGACCAGATCACTGCACTCAAGCTCAGTTCAGGGGGCCCCATCCATGGCCCTGAAACAGCAGCCTCCTGCTCTGAGGCTCAACCTCCCTGCTTCAGCCTCCTCCCCAGCTCCATCCTCACACCCCCGGCTTCACTTATTACGTTTCTCTCCCCTGACAGGAGGTGATTTCCAGGAGAACAGGGACTGGCCTCCCTCCTGCTGGGACCCACCCCTGGAGCAGTGTCTGGTGTGGTAACCACCCTCCCTGCAGAATCCAGGCCTGAACCTCAAGGGCAGTGCAGGGCAGGAGCCAACCACTCGCTAGCTGGGGCTGCAGCGGGGAGGCAGGGCCCTGACCCAGACAGGCCTTCGTGGAGAGGGAGACTGTAGTGGAGACAGCCAGACTACCTGGGCACCAAGGGTAGCCAAAGAGCAGGTGGGACCTGGAGGTGGGCCATGGGCACACTCTGGGCCTCTCTGCACCCGAGCTGGGGGAAGTGGGAGGAGGAGCAGACACAGAGCCGTGGTTAGTTCCACCCGGAGTGATGCTCTCACTGCTGGTTTTGTTGACTCTTCCTTTACACTGCATTTGTCCTGTGTCTTTAAATTTTGGTTTTAAGGCTCACCTGGAGTTGGGGGTTGTTTTCATTTTGTTTTCTCTCCCCACACCCTGCTACCTGCCCCGTTGCAGTTCCCTGGACCTTTAGACAGAACAGAGTCTCCTCGTGCCATTTTTAGAGTTCTTGTTCTGCACAGAAATTGGGGATATTCCAGACCCAGTCACCAGCCTTGTGGATGAATCTTCACAGCCTCTTCCCTCGCCAATTATCAGATCAATGGCTTCTTACAAACCAGGCTTCTTTCTTGGCCTCAGTCCTATTGACATTTGGGGCTGGATAATGTTTTGGCATGGAGGGCGCTGTCCTGTACATTGTATGATGTTTAGCAGATTTCCTGGCCTTTGCACACTGAATCCCAGCAGCACCGCACCTCCAGTTAGTAACTACCTAAACTATCTCCAACCATTGTCACAAGTCCCTGGGGGGCAACCCCAGCCTGCCCGTGGAGGTCTGCTG